AGGGGAGGAGAGAGGAGAGAGACGAAGAGGGGAGGAGAGAGGAGAGAGACGAAGAGGGGAGGAGAGAGGAGAGAGACGAAGAGGGGAGGAGAGAGACGAAGAGGGGAGGAGAGAGACGAAGAGGGGAGGAGAGAGACGAAGAGGGGAGGAGAGAGAGGAGAGAGGAGGAGAGCGTCGCCGCCACCCTGCTTCGGGCCCCCGCGGCTCCGCGCACCGTGTCGTGTCGGGTACACACCACCTGAGCGCAGAGCGCAGCGGACCGCCCCGCTTCGGCGGCAGACGACAGGCGGGCAGTGCAGCAAAAGCTCTAGACAGACGGATGGACGGACGCCTATTGAGGTCAGTGGGGCGCGTCGCAGCGGTGTTACATGCGCCGCCATGCACGCCCCGGCGGCCGGCTGCAGTGTCAGCGAGGTGCACGGTATAGTACTACTGCCGCCACTACAAGCACCCCTCCCCTTCCTCGCCCCCTCCGCGAGGTCAAGACACTTGCTCATCGCAGCGCAATTTGCTGACGGGGTTCACGATGACGTCGTCGCGATGACGGGAGCGTCAGCAGCAGCGTCGCCGCCGCCGCCGCAAAAGCAACCCTATCCCCCTGCTGTCATGAGGAGAGAACGCTCCTCCCTCCAACGCCGCCGCTGCTGCTTCTGCTTGTCACAAGTATTGACGTCGAGGAGAGCAGGAAGAAAGAGAGAGATGGAAGGAGGGGTGGGGCGGAGGACGAAGGGAAGGGGCCAGCAGAACTCTCGCGGCAGTCAGCAGCCATGTTGCGCCCGGCGCCCAGGGCCCCGCAGCCCCCCGCGCCCCGCTGGTACAGCAGCAGCCCTCCAGCAGCCCTATCCGGCGGATCGATCGGGCGCCGAGGGCCCCGCGGGTGCGTGTGAGTGAGCGCGCGCCCCTCTACCACCCCGCCAAAGGGGCGGGCAACGCAGCAAATCAGGGGCAGTGGTGGCAAGCGGCAGCCCAACCCCGTGGGTCCGCACCGTCCGCACCCCGGCGGGGAAGCTGGTGTCGCCACCCAAGAGTTGCTTGCATCTTAGCAAAACGCCAAGTCGGGTCCAATGAGGGTATTTCGCCCGCGAAGGAGACAAACGTCTTCAAGGCCTCCCCCACCCCCTTTTCCCCGCCCTGACATGATAAAGAATGACTAGGAGCAGCGCCCTGGATCGAACCCCTCCCCTCCCTCCCTCCCTCCAGAGGGCGATGCGCCCTGTACGCAACAGCCTACAGGCGCACCACCACCACCCTCCCAGCATCCTCTGCGCGCTCGCGCCGGCCGGCCCACCCCCGAGCCGAAGCCGAGCGCCTTCGGGGTTCGTGCCCGCGTCGGCGCCGCGCGAAGCGGTTGCGAAAGCGGAGGCCGCGGCACGAGCGCCCCCACCACGACCTACCCCAAGCAAGCCCGAGGGTCGGCGCCGAGCCGCGGGGCCCGCGAGAGATAGCGGCCGGCGGGGGCCGCGGGGGAAGGCTGGCGTGGAAGGGGCGGGGTTTCATCGAGGAGATGCGCCGTTTGGACAGGACAAGTACACCTCATTGGCACTTTCACGGCGTTTTGGACATACATCATAAACCATGATTGAGGGGGGCTAACGCGAAAGCTCATGAAAGCCGGTGGCAGGCACCTAAGCAGTCGCGGATCAACGGTGGCGTAGGCGGGAAGTCTATTTTAATTCCTCAACGAAACATACAAACCCGGTAGGCGAAATGGTGAAATGCAGTACTTTGGGCCTGTAATGTGGCCTAGACATGGCCTCGACACCACCATGGCCGGGGTCTGAGGGGACGGGCGTATGGGGAACGGGGAGGAGAGGGGGCGCAGAGGGGGTGAGGGCTCGGGTGCAGCGACATGGCGACAACAGGTCTCCGAGATCTCGGCCGCTCCGGCACGGGCCCCGGGCGAGGGGTTGCCGAGGCCAACAGGGTGCGGAACGGGCCCGAGAGCCGAGCGCAGCCCTAGCGAGCCGAGGCGCTGGGGGTGGGGGTAGGGGGTAGGGGTGGGCGCCGGCAGCGGCGCCACCGAGGATGAGGTCCCTGACGCCGCGGAGCGCCGCGGACTCGCAGCGCCACCAGACGGCGCAAAGTACATCGGCGTCCCGAACGGGCGGCCGAACACAGCCGAGCCGGGCCGGGCCGGGCCGGGCCGACCGGGCGCGGCCACCGGTACGATCGATACAGAGACCCGCACCGCGAGAGCCGCGAGGAGGCAACGGGAGGCGGCGCCGCGACGCCTCGCGACGCCATGCCTGACGATGCTCCTTCACCCTCGCGGCCTCGCGGGGAGGTGCTGCTCACCACCGCCGGCCATCATGTCACCAAGGCTCACCGGCGACTCGCCGCGATGGCCGAGCTAGTCGAGTCTTGTACAGAGGCGGGGGGTGCTTCGGACGAACATGACTCACGTTTTTTGATCCTTTTATTCACTCCGTACATGATTGGCAGAAAGTCCATGAGCAAATCCACAAGGGGCGGGACGCAGAAGGGAAAACTGAGACAGGGAAAGAGCTAATGCCCTTCCATGACAAGGGTCATTGAGGGACAAAAGACAAAAAAGTTGGCTGGCGTCCAGTTTAAGGGAAGTACCTTAAATGCCAAGGAAATAATTAATAGGTAGACGAAATTCAAGGCAAAGTCATGCTAGGGACACATTTCAAAAAAAAGGCAAAGCACATGTGTTCTAATGTTTGACTTATGGAGAAGTATGATGATTCATTTCCGCCAGGTTTAGCTACGAGCATTGCAAATGGATGGAAATTCATTGGAAAGTGAAAATCAGCTGAAAATTGAAATTGTGATAAGATTGGCAAAAAAAAAAAAATCTCGATCAGAAAGAATGGTAAAGCTTGAAAAGGGGCAAAGGTACCAACACAACTATCATTATTTGTTTGAAATACTAATGTGACTACTTTTTGATAATTGGTACTGTTTGCTCTAACTGATTTCACTGGGAACATAACAGTAGTGGATGAAAAAACTTTTAAAAATTGAAGAACGTGGACAAAATTTTAAAATATGGTCTCTGAGTGTACTGATTGTGTTTATACAACCAGAAAAAGTTGATGGCCAAAATTATCCATAAATATATAGATTTGATCACTTACAACATTTGAACAACACACAGCTTTAGCAAAATAAGTATTGAAATTGACTGATATCGTTGCCTCACAGGACTATAGCGGATAAAAACGGTTCACCATGAAATCACTAGCAAAACCAAGAGATTGCAAAAGCATGTAGCATGTCTTCCATGATTCCACAGCTAAAAAGTAACCAACAAAAAGTGAATGACAAACGTATCAATTCCTGATTTAAGTACAAAACATACAAAAAGAAAAAATTTCAACCCCGCTGATTATGTCCATTTCATTTTTTTTAGTGGACAAGCAAAAATTTAATTTGTCTGAAAGCAAACACTGTCATGATACTCAGCAACAACATCCATGCAGGGCATACAACCACCAAAACTTTTATCAGGGAAAAATATAAAACTTATAACTCTGAGAATGTATCGTGCAATGGATGAAGTCCTGAATGCTACAAATGACCATGGCATGAAAAGTTATACTGATGAAATTTATGACAGTATTCATTAAGTATGCTTTCAAATAACTGCACTACAAAAATAAAATATTATTTAGATAGGGTTTGAAACATTTCGATTACTTACGAAGAGAGAGAGAGATAGGAACGGCGTTTCTGACAGCCGAACGTAAATAGGCCATAGCCAGTCATCCGGGCAGATCGAAATACGGAGTTTAATCAGAGAGAAACTTTAAAGAAACGTGTGACAAGTGCTCTTCCGACAGAGATTGCAAAAATTGTAGCGGAAAAGGATGAAAACAGAGTATTTAACCGAGAGAAATCGTTCCACGATGTTCGGTGAGAAGTTGCTACATGACATGACAGGCCGTGCCAGCAGCGTATGTGGCGGCATCGCGAATAGCATCTGCACCGCAAAAGCAAACTTGCAGACAGACAAAGTAGTACTTCTCATAAAGACAATTCATCGGAACAACCTTCTGGCTGTTGTAAAACACGCAATCAATGGCTACTTTCACGCAAAATCGTCAAACGTTTTCTTTGCGTGATGAGGTTTGTTTGGACGCTTGGTTGCTTTTCATGCCTCCGATCTCCACAGAACTTCTAACGTAATTTCTTCACAGAATACAACAATGGCAAAGGTTCTAAAACGTTCGTCCGGTGAGGAATTTATTTGTGAACATTTCGAGCATTAAAACATAAGCAATCTCCTTCAAATACCAATAAAATTCACGATTTCAACAATAAAACACTTACCTGGTGGGCACAGATGACGGATGTTCAAGAGCTGATACTGCTCAGCCGTTCTGCGCATGACTGTCAGAGTCAAGTGAAACATCATCAACAAAACGGAAACCACCTCTATTTTTGTCAAATACAGGAAAACAAAGTGTTCAATGTAAAAATTATGTCAACGTCATGTTTAAAGACCTTTATTCGTTTATTTTAAAATAAAAATTCCTGTGAATCCTTTCAGATTTTAACTCATGTACAAAAACGTATAGGCTACCACTGACTCACACAGTGTTCTACTTTGTTTCCGCGCCCGGTTTCGCAGATTTATTATTATATCAAGAAAATGATCAGCTGATTCTTTCCTAATTTTAAATAGTTTTTCTTTCATTATTTGCATTTTACCAGAATAGCATAAATTTCAAAATAACTTTCCGCTTGGTCGTAGGAAGTATGTCTCTCACGTTCTGACTTGCACGTACTCATTTGTTATCTGCAGAATGTCGAACGGTCAAGGAAGTTACAATTTTAAAGTTGTACTTTTGGGGGAAGGTTGTGTAGGGAAAACATCGCTCGTCCTTCGTTATGTGGAAGATAAATTCAACGATAAGCATATAACCACTTTACAGGTATGTTATATGTGTCCTTAACCTATCACCCATACCTGTAGCTGTCACACCTGTCAATTATGTAAACATAATTTTTAACGAGAATGCTTTTTTAATATTTCGTACTATTTTTTAACCTACCAATTCTTAAACTTTTCTTATGTTATTGATTTTCTTGCTAGACAGTGAAATTTAAATCAATTAGATGATGTGTCATCCATTTTTTTTTCTTGTTTGTTTTTCTGGCCAAGAGCTGTATTAAATTTGTTGTATCCTTCAATGCGCTACATAAGGAACACTATTCGACATTTTTGAATCCCTTTTCTTTTGCTCCTGTAACATAATGCATAGAAATTATGAGCTGTCATTACAGCTTAGAGCAGATTCTTCTGAGATTAATGAATGAAGGTTATGTAACTAGCTTACATGGAATGGGTTTGGTCTTTTGTTGACAGGCTTCATTTTTGAACAAAAAGCTGAACATTAATGGAAAACGAGTTAATCTTTCTATTTGGGACACAGCAGGACAAGAAAGATTTCATGCTTTAGGCCCCATCTATTACCGAATGTCCAATGGAGCTATCCTGGTCTATGATATTACTGACGAAGATACATTTAAGAAGGTAAGCCTATTTTATGCATTGAAAATCGCATATGCTTTTTTATTCTGTAAGAAAAATTCACCCGGATGTTTGTTTATAGGTCAAAAACTGGGTGAAGGAGCTGAAGAAAATGTTGGGCAGTGAGGTGTGCCTTACTATAGCAGGTAACAAGGAAGATCTATCAAAGGACAGGAATGTTTCCATTGAAGAGGCACAGAGGTAAATTTTCTTATTATAAAATTTGCATTTTTTTAAAAAAATAAAAAATAATCAATTTTTTTTGTGTGTTTGTGTGTCTACTGAATATCTACAGGTATGCTGACTCTGTTGGAGCTAAGCACTTCCTTACATCTGCCAAATTAAATCAGGGTATTGAAGAAATGTTTGTGGAATTGAGTCACCGTATGATGGAACGCCATGCTGAAGTTGAACTTGCCCAGGCGCAATCAACGTTGGGACGAGCAGGAAGTATGAGGCGTAATGTAATGGTTGTTGAAGATGATATGATGGTGCCTCCCGATAACTCAGTGAAAGGTGCTTGCTGTGGTGGTTATCGAGTTGCTTCATCATGAAATAACTTTTAAAGAGCTTGGTCTTTGGACAATTTTTATCTGCTGGTTGATCTACTTGGACCCATAAGCATTGTTAACAGCAGCGTATTTAAAATGTCACAATACAGTCCAGGAAGCTTGTGGTTGTCTGTTGTATGTATATAGTCTAATAGAATGGATGTTATAAGCGATGTATCTGTGATCTAAATGTGTACAAATGATGTTATGTGGAAGGACTTTCAGTTGTTAACTTTTTTACTGTTGTTATCTCAGTGACCACTCATTTGATACAAGATGGTTTATGTAACCACACACTTGTCCACGAGAGTTTAGTGAGCTCCCATTTCTTACCTTGTGATTTTTTTTGTCTTGCACTTTGTGCCAGTCTGAATCTTGTGGCATAGCTCAGATGGAACTCTTAATTGTGAAAAAGAATTGGCCATGGTTCTGCTTTTGATTATTACAAAGACAAAAGTAGAGTGTCCTGTTGGTTGTATCTAACTAATATTGAAACCTCTAGTCGCTTCTCTCCAGTATGGAAATGATTCATTCCACTAGAAAAAAATATATGAATGTCCAATGAAAATCATGAAACCAAACCTTTTAAGTAATATTGACAAAATAGGTAAAAGTTTGACTTTTCAAGGGTTTGATTACTTAATAATTTACAGAGCTATCTTTGACTGGACTACTGCTGTAGGCTGTAGCACTGGATGCTATTGTTACAAAAGTTAAGGTACTGTTCACTACTTACTACCAGATCCCTCTACCATTATTTCATAATGAATTTTGCAAAATTAATTTCCTTGACATTATCTACGTGTAGATGTGCTTAATGTTTCAGTAGTTCTATGGCTTGTATGTGGATATAGAATGGCTTCAATAGTTTGTAGCCTTGCTGGATCCATTTCATTCAATTTTAATTGCAAAAGGCATTTGGAGAAATTGTTGATTCCAAAAGGATCATTTGGTTTCTCTAGTCACCCTTAAGTTAAAATTAAGGTGCTTGTATTAAAGGAGCTATATCGGCACAATTTCTTTTCTTTTTTTATATCTGTGATGATTTGTGTAAAGTACAGTTCAGATTGTTGTCAACAGTATTATACTCTTGTGCATAGTTGTCTTATGTTTCAGAACAATCTGTATCCAATTTTTTAGCTTTGCAGCATTCTGTACATGAAAAATGTCTTGTATAAACCACTCAATGAAAAATGAAGGACATATTTGAAACAAACATTTTTTGTCTATTTTAATACAATTCCATACACATTCTATAAAATTTATTTTAAAATTTTATGTATAATGTACAGTAAAAGCACAAAGGCACTTTGCAAAAAAAAGAAGAGGTAAAATACACCTAAATTGAAGGGAAATGTTATGTACTAAATTAATAGCTGACATTTGAACACAGCGCTTGCATGCCTGCCTGCCCGACTCCTAGCAGTGTTACACCATAAATATATGTACATACACCAATAAATTAGAGGTTTAAATGCCCCTATCATTTCCAGGAGACACAGAGAGGCAAAGGTGCATCATTTACATCACAATTGAGATCTCCCTTTATAAGTTGCCAACAAAATTTACCTGCCATCACAACTGATGCAGTCATAGAGCGCTCTGACTTTAACTGATTGTAATAAATAACAATAACAAAAAAAGAAAACAGTATTGGACCAGGTATAAGAATTTCTCAAATGGAAACAACTGCAACACAGGTGCAAGAGAAAACAACATGTATAAAAGCTGAAAGAATGGATTTCATAATGTGGCTCAATTTGGGTCCCACATTTAGCACATTGCATTCTTTAAATAGCTGCGAATGACACAAAATATAAGAAGTATACATCTTAATACAACACAGATTGTTTTTAACCACTTACTAACAAAACAGAATTCTAATCGGAGACTAGAAATGAAAGTTTTCTCTTGAGACTAAACAAAGCTCACAAGGCAATGCTAACTTTGTAAATCTTGAGTACGCATAGACATACAAACTTTTTACAAAATGAAACAAATTGCAAAATTTGCAACTTTAAATGATCACATGTGGTTTTCACAACATTCTTGTTAACCATCCTTAATAGTAAAATAAAAATGTGTTGGTACGATAGTTGTCATTTTGACAACTTACTGATAACTCTGATTAATGCTCCATTTTCATCTTTCAGCCTCTGATTTTCGGTTTTGAGCTGCTCCAAGAGCTGCAACAGACAAGAAAACACTTCTGTAAATAAAAATATTTCACCATAGTTACTAGCTGAGCTCATCATCTCAATAAGCACAAGCGAACTGTGTTAAATCAAACAGATTAAATGTCATAAATTTGCCAAAACGGCATGAACAGGAAAACTGAAGACCGCGAGTGACCACATGGGGCATAGTCATAAAATGGAGAATCCTCAAAGAATAAACATTACACTGAAACCTGTGCCAGAAGTACATTTGAAAGGAAGATTTAAATATTCTAGTCTTCAAGAGTTCCATAAGTTTTGGCTGCAAAGTCATAAGAGAAGCATTAGATTTTACCTCGTAACAGAATCTTTCACTTCCACTTTTCATGAACAAATTCAACAAGGCCACATCAACCAATAATTTGCACAGTGACAAAATCCTCACACTTCAATGAAGGAGACAAAGACGAAGATTGTTCACAATTTCTCTAAGTAAGAGAGTTATCAGCAAAACGAAAATTCTCAGAGCAATAACTAATTGACAGGTTAAGTATACAAGCATGACACACCAAACAAACAGCTTAAGCTTGTAACCTTTATGGCAAAGTCAAACAAAACAGGAAAAAGCAACTCGTAAGGATGCTGTAAAGAATAGAGTGGGAATGCTGTCAGAGCTGTTATAGGAATGGAGAAAAAAAAAAGTTATGGTAAAAATGCTACAGTTAAATTTTATTTCTCAAAAATTGAATATTTAAAATTTTGAGCAAAACCCTCAATTCTTAATTAACTTAATTGAATTAAAGGAAAGGGGACTAACATAAATTTATCTTGTTAAAGGAAGAATGCAGATTTTCAGTAAGAGCACTAGGGCTGTCATTACAGCCAATCACAAAATTACTAGCTCTGCAGACACTGGCTTTACTGGCAGGAACACAACAAGTCAGCACTGCATGCCCATCAATGCAATGCAACACCAATCAAACAACATTTACAGCATTACCTAGATTCTGGCATTAGCTGAACTAGTCAGCTTGGTCACTACCCGCGTCAGAGCACGGTTTTCAGACCTCAATCTTTCGTTTTCCATTTTGAGTTTTTGCAATTGCTGTAAAAGTAAGAAATTTCTTAATCCCTGAATTTGCTTGAGGCTGCATCTGCGACTTTGCTTCCTGAAAAAATCTACATTACACTCTAGAACACTGGAATGATGAGTATCTGCTTTCTCTCTCTTCCATCAGTGAAGTGTACTGGATAAGTGCTTCACATTCAAGTAAAAGGGGAATTGATGGGATTCAATGACTAATTGCTTACAAAGTAACAATTTTGTTCAGAGGTAAGAAAATTCCTTGCTGAACAGATAACTTGAAATTTTCAATAACCATATATGCCCCTGTAGCCACAACATGCATTCGGTGCACAATTAGGGATACTACATTAATCATAAAACTTGTAAAACTCATTTCACTCAATTTGATGCCTATTAGTTATCAGATAGAGTAGCAAAGAAAGGCCTTAATCTGTCAAAAATGTGGTTCAAAATGAACACATTCCTCCTTATTTGAACAAGTCTTTAGAAACATTTAATTACCAAGAGTTGAAATTAACTGAAATTTAAGGAAGTAATTCAAAAGAAAATAAATTAATACACAAAAAGACATACAAAATAGAGGAATGTGCTCTAGTAAAATGAACCTCAAATCTCTATATAATAGCACACTCAAGAGAAGGCAAGAGAGCAATACAAAGATTCCAGAACACACACGCCAAAACTTCCCCAGAAGTACAGAATGAGAAAAAGTGAGTGGAACTGAAAAGCTTATGTTAGCACATACCTTCAACTCTTCCTCCATTTCTGATAACTTCCGTTCCATTGCCCTTCTTTCCCGCTTCTCTATTTCAGACAGGCTGTTTTTATTAGGCTGAAACAGAGTAAAAACAAAGAATTTGAATGCATGGAGGTAGTGGAAGGAATTAATTTAAATTGCTAAATGTTGTTTTAAATGGCATAAAAATGAATGACATAACATACAACTGAGTTTTCAGCAAGAGCTTTTGATCCTCTTAAATCATCTTCAGTCTTCTTTAATTTCTCTCTCAAACGCTCATTTTCAAGTTGAGATTCTTCATAAAGCTACAAAAAAACGATAGAAAATAAATTAAACATTATTTTTCAAAATACATACCTACAAACAAGTAATAGTGGGCTCAATATCACAATTTTCTAAAACCCTTCAGAATAAAGCACCTAAAATATAGCGTACCTTCTTGTAATCAATTTCTCCATTCTCTGATCTAGCAGGAGTAACAGCTCGGCTAACAGAAGCAGAGTCACCCCCCGCCGATGAGGTAGAGCCCAACCGGGAAGAGCGTCCAGATCGCTCAGCACCACTCTGCAACAAACAAACAAAAAAGTAATTTTAAAGACTCTGCAAAAATGTCACGACATCTTCAAGCCCATTTTGGTTGAAAACTTGATGGTAGTAGATACAATTATTCTGACAATTCTTTGTAGGAAGCTTGCTCGCAGGACTGGGTCGCTAGGACTGTCATATATTCGCCGCGCTCCCGTCAAAACAGTCAGGGGAGAGGACATGTGAAAATAGAAACGAAACAGGGGATCCCCTCCCGGCCCACGGCCCTCCCAGTCCCGTGCTTACAACATAGCCCTCGGACGTGGTGCTGCGCGCGCTCACGCCGCTGACAATCGAGGAGTTGGACCCCGAGCGCGAAAGCGCTGGCGAGGACAGCTGCGATGCAAGCGAAGCAGAGCGCGGCGTCGACCGCGAGCGCTGCCGGGCCCGCTGCTTGCTCGTCTGCGTGTTTCCGGACGACGTTGACGGACCGGCGCGGCTCCGGTTGTTGGTGGAGTAGGTCGACGACGACGACGCACCCGAAGGGTGGATGCTCAGGTTGCCGACCAAAACGTTCCCCGAGGACGAGTGCCGCGAGGGCGAGGGCTGCCGGTTGAGGGATGTGGACGACGAGGAGGGCACCAGGAGGCCACCATAGCCCGAGGAAGTGCCGCCATACGTGGTGAGAGCCGAGAGGTACCCGGTCGAGCCAGAGCCACCGTAGCCCCCGAGCCCGTGGTGGCCGTACGGCGAGCGGCTCGAGTACATGCTGCCCATGCTCTGGGGGCGGCTGCCGCTGGACCCCAGCACTGACGAGCCGTAGCCGTTGTGCAGGCCCGAGATGGAGTTGCGCCTGGCCGCGGCCGCCGCCCGGCTGCTGGCGCTGGAGCTCGAGCCGGAGGGCCTGGAGGTGGACGAGGTCCTCCCCGACCTGGAGCGGGAGCTGTTGGCGCTACTGGACAGGGGCCCGGGGCCCATGGCCACGCCCGCGCGCGCGTGGTAGGACGCCATGAGGACGCAGTCACGCCGAGACACAACTGTCTCTGGGCACAACACGCCAATGAGGCCCGGGGCCTAACACACAACGAACGCCCCGCCGAGACAGAGGGGCCCCGAGGGCGCGGCGCCGCGCTGCGCCCCGCGCCCCACCGCGCCGCCCGCGCCCTGCCTAGCCCCACCACGCCCCGGCCCGCTCTACTGCCACCTCACTGGCAAGGCCAACAAACCAGCCTCAAACTTGAGACTCAAATATAGCCCCTCACCACCTGACCAGGTGCTGGGGTGACGCCAAGCCACGCTGGGCACAAGACAAGCGTGCGCTCGAGGGGCAAAGCCAGGCACAGCCTGGGGACCGCTAAGCGTCACGCCACGCCTCGACGCGCAGGTGCAGGGCCTGGCCGCGGGCCCGCGAGATGTCCCTCACTCACTTGGCTACCCGTCGATGTGACGCGGAGAGAGCACGTCATGCCCGCGTCCGCCAAGACCAACACCGAGGCGGAAAACCACCTTTCCAGAGATTCGAGGATTGAAAAAAAAATAGTGCACATTGGAAAAATGGTTTCAAGAGTAGTTATGAGAATGCAGCCATACAAATACTCAAATTACCACAACAAATTAAATTCAGCACAAAAATGTTGTAAAACAATATTGCACAAGTAAGGATACTGCATATCAACATATTTATATTGATTGCAGATTTGCAGCAACCAACGTACCTAATCTGAGAGAGCATTTGTCGTTTCCTGAGACAAAAGATTTCCTTGACACACAGTCAGGTAGTAGGTTGCCAATTGGCACATAAGTGTTCAGTTAAATTTAGAAATTAAGCTGCAGGCTTCCTACTTTGACAATACAGTATCATTACATATGTTTTCCAGACAATTTTAGTTTTTCTTGCAGAATTGTAAATATTGCACAGGTTGTGTGATCATGTAAAAAGGGACTGTTCTAAATTTTGAAGGAAAAGAAAAGGAAAAGAAAGGCCTCAGGTGATTTCTAGAACTTGGGAATAACTGCATTAACATGCCATGCTCTCCCAGCCCCAGCCCCACTGTATACTGAACAAACACTACCAACTGACAGCCTACAAGCAGCAGGCCACAGCACACCAGACGTGGTTTTCTCTCCCTTTCAATCTCAGTGGAAAGGCGGCAAGGCTAGAGATGTGGGTGAGTGGGAGTGGGGGTGGAAGCTGCAAAGGATGAGAGAAACAGTGTGGGAGGGATAAAAGAGAAGGAGAGTGAGAGTACAGCAAAGCAATAACTACTCCTTGCACAAGAGATGGTGCCAACATTCTGCCACAACCACCAGCAATATTATCATAACAAAGAATAACTCATTTTGAATATGCATGAGAAAATGGACAGATATGAGGAGAAAAAGGGAGAAATACATTTCTGCCACTTCCGAATCCAAACCCCACCATGACCACTCAGCCACATGTGGTAACCATGGACTAACTTCCTAAATATACCAGAGTCTGGGCAATCAGCCAATCTTCAACTCAGGCTACTCTATTTATAGAGAGGTGGCCCTGCACACTTCTAGCCCAACCACAAAAAAAAAAAGAAAAAAAAAACAGAGGGAAAAAACCAAGCACAAAATTCACAGAAAGAAAAAAAAACTATTCAAGATAACCGTACCTCATTATGATTTGTTGATGAGTCATCCACTTCACCTTGATTAGCTTCCTGTCGATCTGGATCAATTTCCTGTCAGGAGGAAAAGAAATAAAATATCATGGGTGTCAAAAGCATAGAAGAGATACCTCAATAATCAAGTAATGTGTGGGTACATACATCGAGATCAACATGGACAACGCCAGTTGACCTACGCTTCGGCCTTTTTCTTCTAGCAATCACAGCTTGAGTGGCTTGGGCATTTCTGCTATCATTCTCCTTATCTTGCTCTGAATAAGATTAAAACAGTTTAAATACCTATTTATAATTCGAATAACACGAGGTTAGCTACTAACTAGAAACCAACCCTTATCTTCTGGAGGTTTAATTTGTCTTCTTAAAGGTAAGGTGACAGTCGTCTCGGTTGAAACTGGGTCAGGAGTGGCACTAGGAGCAGATGCAGGACGGCCAATAGAGCCACCAGAAGGACGTCTGATGTACGCAGTTGTTGCTTCCGGGACGCTACTCCGATTTCGTGCGTCTTCCAGCAAAAACTGCAACACACATCATTCATATGTTAGCATAAAAATAAACCACAAACGTATTAACAAACAAAAATTGGCTGCCAATGACAACAAAGCTGGCAATAAGACATGTTGCATGCAAGCACCACAAAAATTATTTTGTATATCCAAGAATATTAGGGCGATGTTTTGACAAGCCAAGTAAAATGCTTCATTTTTCTTTTGGCCTCAACATTTTTTCACAATTAATTGGGAAACAAGTTACCATAGCAGTTGGAAACACAAAGAAAACAATTATAGCCCAGACATTCCACCATTCATAAAATACAAGGACATAAACATGAACACAACATTTTAGTCCAGACAGATATGGAAATGTGATCTGAAAGACTTCATGCAAAGCAAACTTACAACAGAATAATTGATGGGTAACACAACAAGTACAGGAGGAACATCAGTAGAGATTGAGAAAATTAAACATAAACTATAGTTGGTAGTTTCTGTGTTTTCAATCAATCCTATTGCAGGCAAGGAAACAAGCTGTCAAGTAAGATGGGGAAGTAAAATTTGCAAGGAGCATATTTTTTTGATCTTCACTGAAAACTTTCTTTAGGCAATAATCAGTTCACAAAATACAGATGACATTCATACCTCAGTAAATTGTGATAAAGTCGTGTTTTTTGTTTGTTTAGATTGTTCAGTTTTATGCCAGGTTTAAGAAAAAGAAAAGACAACATGTAAATGACCACATCCACAGGTCTTTACCCACACATTGTCTTTTACTTTCTCCAGTATTCTCCTTGCAAATTATATTACTGTTGATATAGGCAGAACGGGCTGGATGACACTGCACATGACCAAGTCTCACACCTTGCTGCGATCTCCGTTGTCAACACGGAGACGCCATGAGGGTCGGCGCTCGGATGAAACGACAATGACGTCTTCTCTTGAAGGACTAGGTACAGTGGGCTCACCAGTTGTTATTGTGGCTGATATTGAAGTACAGTTATTGCCATAAATCAAATCCGCTGCATTTGGCTGTCATGGGCACAAATTTATTTCACATTACAGCAAGCACTAATGATTTAATTTATTATGGGATGGGCTTCTGATATTACAGTACAATAATAGTAAGTGCATTGGGCAATGGATTTCAAGTTTCCATTAAATTTAAGCTTCTTTAAAAACTATGGTGATTGGTTTAACAATTTTACAACACAAGGAATTATTTTATCTGGGTGAGAGGCAAACTTAATTAAAAAGGTAACTTCAAACCATAAGTACACGAGGGTGCTAGGACAATATTAATAAACACAGGAAAGCTACACACTAAGCAGGATCTTGAGTTGCAATGATAAGGGCTGTACACAAATGGGCACAAGGGAACTATGCTTAGCATTAACACACTTCAAAATACAATGGACTGTGCCAAGAAAACACAAAATAATTTCCTAATGTGTACACGGATAAGAAACAATTTCTTTATTTGACAAGAATAACTGAGTTCATATTTTTCCACTGTTGTGATAAAAGCACAAACCTGATCATTGTTGAGCTGTTGAGTTGCTTGATGTAGTTGTTGTTGCTGCTTCTTTTTCACTAACTGCTCAGCAGACTTAATTTCCTCCAGAGTAACTCCTTGGGTAGACCTTCGTGTCTCCCTCACCCTCTTAGCATGAGCTTTTCTTTGGGTTTCTGATTCTTCATCTCTAACAGGAGGCACAAATGACCTGCAAGAAAAAATAAGGCATATCATTAAAATTTTGTGGGGGGAAAGAGTATATACCTTCGTTTTCTTATAATATCTACAGTCCTCCTCAGCACTGAGGACATTATAAAAGCAATGAGCTTTGAATCAAGGTCTTTCATACAAAAGTTTCATTCATGGTTACATTAAAATAGTTCAAATCAAGGTAATAAAGGTGAGGTTTACATTCGTGGATGCAACTACACTTCTCAGGAATCAAGCTATTGAAAAATTTGGATTGATTGATACCCTCAAGACACTAAATCAATTGCAACCAACAATCAGCACATATTGTTTCAAAGGAGCTTGCAAAGCTTGGGAATAAACTATTGTACAATGCAACAAATCAGCACGCAACATCACAACAACCATACCACTAATTGACCCCTTGCCGCAAGAGTAACCTATCTATAAAACGTGTCATCACTTATCTTCCCAGCCTCCCAACTACCAGGATGAGGGGGGGTAAGGGGTCATGATTATGATGGCACATTTTGCAAATAGGCTACTCTTGCAGTAAGGGATCAAAATATCATAAAGTAGCAAATCCCTTTTAATGCGTATGCAATCAACTTCAGCACAGACTCACAGCCATGATTAATATGTTATTTTTTAGAGATGTAAAAACAGAAAAGGTTAATATTAATAATAATGAAAATCTCCAAAAAATTTATAATAGAATGAAAACAATAAAATTTTAGATTGCACTAATCATTTAAATTCATTCTTTAAAATGCAACTCAAAAATGATTATCACAGCAAACCACAAGCAGATTCACTAGGGAGTTCAAGTCGGTTGGGTGAAAAAAGCATGTATTACAATCTGATTAGATATCAATATTAATACTCAAGATGTCATGCACTAATAGCAGACAGAACACACTGCTACGCACTTGAAGAAATTTTTGAAGATGTTCCCTGGACTAAGCTTACTTCCCCCTGGTGTGGTGGGGGTGGTAGGAGTGGTAGTTGGACTACCACTAGAACTACTGTCCTTAGGCCCGCTGTAAATTAGTGCAAAACACTCTGCTACAGTGTTGTGCTTTCCACACAGACCACAAAATGTACAGACACAGCCCTCAAACATACAGGACAAGTAACATAGGCTGGAAAGTACTTGTTAGAACATATAGGTAGACAAATGTAGATAGATATAGGTGGCAATGCTGATTAAATAGGACTCTTGACTTTTGTCAAATTTTGATAGTAAAACTAATTCTGAAGTGCCTGACTGACACAGGGAAAGCTTCCAGTTAGATTAAGTAGCAATTCAAAGTAGAAATAATACCCTAAAACTTAGATAAAATAAATGATCACATAAAATGTCAATAAAACTGGTGCAAATTAGACACCTATTAGTGAGATTGCACCATTCAGTACACAGTGAGACATGCACTTACTCCAGCTAAGAGCAACAACATTAAATATCCATAGAAAGCACCACAGATTGTCAAGTAAAATGACTTTGCTTAATAAATGGCTTATTTTTTCCCCTTCCTTTTTTTCTTGTATTTTTTGGTGGACCATAGACCTTTTAACACTTAGCGGGTCAACTGCACACATGCAATTTGTAATCTCCTGTATATAGGTACTGAATAAGACAAGTTCTGCACAGTAGCATAATGTGCTTTTTCCAGAATACGTGCTATATAAAATTGGCCTACATCAAAATCCTCACAATTGACCAATACGTGAGATTCATGAATGCTACACAGCACATCAAATAAACATCAATAAGAAAGAAAAAAAGATAACAAAGAAAATCATACCTTCGAACTTGACTGATGGGAGGTATTCCAATGGAATTAGCAGTTGTGCTTTGGGAGGCTCTGTTAACAGGGTCTGCAGGTGGTGGCATCAGATTTGCAGCAGTGGCAGCTGCAGTAGCTGCTGCAACGGCAGATACCACCGCTGCTGAAGCAGACTTGGTTGGACTTTGTTTACTTTCCTCACTAGATCCTCTACGGCTGAAATGTAAGAAACAAACAAGATATTAGCTTAAGACTTCACAGGAAATAAAAGGGAGGCTTATGAGCACATAGTAGAACTTATACATATCAAATGTTTATGATTAGATAAAAACAAGCAAAACTCCTCCATTACAAAGAAAAAAGTCAACATATATAACAACAACGGGTTAGAGTAAGTAAAAGTTAATGTGTCAAGCTGTCTTTTGGTTATTAATTGTTAAGGCGTTATATTAATAACTGTATTACTGCAACTGTACAGCTGGACTATTGTAAGCAGTTGTCTATTTACACACTCTTTCATAGCATACAGCCAAGGAGTAGACACAAAATCAGCCCCACAGTATAGCGGTAACTTACATCCATATTTACACATGCCCCTTAAAATTGGTTAAATGAAATTGAATAAAAAGTCTAATTCCTTGAAAGTTCTAAAGTCCTATTGAAATACAAAAAGAAAAAAAATCCAAAAAGATAGTAAAGGGAATAAAATTTTCAAATTAGCACAAATGACTAGCGCACTTTGTAGGTGGTCAAAACCCAAAACCAAAAACCTACCTTGGCAAATATCTTTCCCTGAGTGAGGCAGATCGAGTGGGTAAGGCTGACACAGACTGAGAGGAGGGCAATGAGGGGCATGAACCTTTTATTCTTGCATGTAACTCCTGGTATCTGCGATAAAACCTACACGCACACAATATAAAATAAATCAAGCTGCAAACCATGCATGCTCTCCAACAAAAAAATTATCAAAAATAACAAAAGTTTTGGTTTAGTAGAGGAAAAAGAAATGCTGCATGCTGACAAAGCAATGTCAGAGCATAACGCAATGAGGCATAAAGCATTCGATGTACTGGAGCATTTCATCATGTGGTTGAAAGTTACTTAAATTACAAAAGGACATGCATTAACAGCCTCAATTCGAAGAAAACAACTCAGATATTTATACAGTCTCAGACATGCTTGCAAGGTTGAATGTTTACTTAAGCATGTTTAGCTTTAACGAATCTTTCAGCCAGAGGCTATGTGCTCAAATTAAATATTAATCTGTTATGTTAGTCATTCAAATTAACCTCTACATTTAACTTACCTATCGTCTGTTTCAATGAAGCTCTGAGTTCTTCTCACTCTGAGAACAACGTCTGCGTTGTCAGTGACACCACGCCCGCCAGCAGGCGATGTCTCACTATTAACTTCATTATCTCCAAGACCTGCGAGCAGTATTTGAAAATATTGCAGCATTTGACAAAACTAGAAGTTGCTTTAAGACTAAACAGAAACGTCTGTTCCAAAGCTTTCACTTCAGAGTTGAATGAAAAAAAAGAAAGAAAAAAGAAAAACAACAACTCAAGGATGTGCAAACTTACAGCATGCTGAAGTGTCATTTAAGTCCAGCAAATGTCAACAATAAAAGCTTAAGTTGTAGGCACTATACTTTCTATGTGGTGGTATTTTGAGGTGCAAAAACTATCTGTATTTGTTAAAACTACATGGTGAATCTAGAGGCACACTGTGTCATAAAATAGGTAATAGAAATTGAGTGGGTAACTTGAATCAGATTCTTTCAGGCAACAAACAATTATCATAAAATGCAAGGTAAAGAGAGTGTTATGCAGCCTAACATAATGGAAGAAGTACACAAAAAATGTTACTACTAAAAATTCTGAGGAAGCCACTACTTCAAACCACATCGATATGTATTGCGCCGACTCACGTAAAGTGAAATTCCGAGGAGGCGGCTGTATTTGGTTGTGATTCTGCTCTGAGCGGCCCCGTACAGAGCCTGGCCTTCGCCATGATGGCATATTTGATTCATTCTCACCTTGAGATAGTTTGGGTGGGGCACTGGGAGCCTGCAAAGTAACAAGACAAACCATGAGTCAACAGTAGAATTAGACAAACTTTTTAAAATCATGTGGATTTTAATTTAATAGTAATTGCATACGTACAGGATTTGTAGGACCATCTGCAATCCTGTTCACTTGATTCTTCTTTTCTGTAAACATAAAAAACAAAAGGAATGGTTGATTTTGAATTTAATAAAAGTCATAAAAAATACGGTTGAACTTTTAAGGTATGTCATTTACAAAGTTGTTGACACTAGTACTATAAAGATAGTGGCCCACAGCACATTGAAAATTTTCTTTACTTACCTTCAAATCCTTCCTCAATTTTATCAAAACTAGAATCACTAGTGTCAGATTTTGATGATAAATCATCTTCAGAATCTGACTCACTAGATGATTCATCCTCATCTTTTGCAGCATGCACATTAAAAATTTGTGATGCAAAATGTATGACAAAAGCTAAAAATCTTTCACCTTTCATCCCCATCCCTTACAACACTCCTGAACATTAAATAAACTTTGTACACTCACCAACTTGACTGTCCTCCTTGATATCTTCTTTCTCGATTTTAACTTCAACTTTCTTAACTTTGGTTCCAGGTGGTCCCTCTTCTTCTGATATAGTACGATCCAACACCTGTCGCTCCGATGATGTGTCTTTGTTCACCAGACTACTCTTATCTGACCCCGACATTCTGGTGATGGATGACCTGCCAACGTGTAGAGTCTGTCATTGTTAATAAAAGAAACATGCAAGGTGGACAACACACATAGGAAAAAGGAGTGGGGAAAAAAGCAGGTAAATCACACACATAATTCTGATTTTTCACACTTATTGAAAACTCAAATCAGAAGGTGAGTAAAGCCAAAATTTGAGTGAACATGCCAAAGGAGGATCCATTACAGAACAAGTAGTGTTTTTCCCTAAATAACTATAGACTTAAATTTTGCTTTTTTTCAAAAAAAAAAAAAAAAAAAGAAAAGAAAAAAAAAGAAAAAGAAAAGAAAAAATGGAAAAGAGTTTTTCTAGATTTTTGCTTTGGCAGTAGACCAACACAGAAAGCTGAAATTTTTAAGGTAAAAAAAGCATGACAGTGAAAGAAGAACAAACAAATCGATAATGACCGTCTCTTTGGTGTGTTTGCAGCTGCCTTTTTGTTGATTATTGCATTGATATCTCCATTATCTCTTTGTAATGTTGCTTGCTTCTTCTTGAGCTCCTCTAAAGTTCGAACCATATCAAGATCTGCTACATCAAAAGCAGTTTGTCCCTAGAATTAAAGATAGGATTTAAAATTTGGTCAGGACTTCAAAAAGGTATCGGTACATGTTTCTAAAATTGAGAAAAGTAAGGTATACATACCACATAGTTCTTGATTTCCATATCACAGAAGTGTTCCACAAGCATTTCACAAGCTTCTTTTTGACCCCAATGTGCAGCTGCATGTAACGGTGTCCAGCCATCACAGTCTTGTGAATTTATATCTACTTTACCCTGGAGCAAGACACTACAAGACAAAAAGAAAAAGGTAATTAAAAAATAATAATTTGTATTTAGTTTTATTAGTTCAGTGACAAACAAGAAGTCGTGGGGTAGAATTGTGATATCCCTTCATTCAAGATACCGTAGAAGTGAACATGTCAAGAAAGATGTATGGGAAATATAATTTGATTTACCTGATAACTTTAATATATCCTTTTGCAGCAGCGACATGTAAGGCGGAAGCACCAGTCTTAGGATGCGGTTTATCTTCCATTTCACCATTGTTAATCCATTCCTTAGCATCCATCATCATCATTCGTTCTTCCTCGCCTCTAGCCTCGTCACAATCAATTTCTGAAAATAAAATAAAGGGTAATTCATTATTTTATAAGAGAAACAACCCATTGAATATTTTTTCTTAAGTATCATAAGAATTCTCACCTTTGGTAGTTATATGGTCTAGCAATAATTCTTCCATCTCGTCTGACTCTGCAATATCCAACGGGAGCTCTCCATCATTGTTAACAGCAGCTACATTAGCTCCATGCTCAATTAAATACCTAAAATCATAATCAAGGAAGCAATTAAAATGATGTCACTCAATAACCCATTAAGAAGGAGTGATGGATTTGGCACATACTTTGCTATACTAATAAATCCACATGATGCAGTGGCATGGAGTGGGGTCCATCCCTCGTTGTCACCGCGATTAACGTCAGCACCATGCTCCACAAGGAACTCCACCATGTCAAGATTGTCATCTATGCACGCCTAAAATAAAATGACAGATGTCAACATTTTTCATACTCTCAAATTAGTAATTCGTCATGATTGAGATTAGTGTGGAATGATATGTTTGAAGAGTATAAATAGGTACTGCAGTTTCATTCAATCCCCCCCCCCTTATTTTCTTTGCCATTTCAAACCAGACATCTCTGTATAGGACTGCAGTGCAGCAGCTAACAGCTGTGGGTCTCGGCTCTTTCCGACCCGACCCGACCCTCGCCCCACGACACAACTACCGGTCGACGGGAAAGGAAACAGTCGAACAAACAAACAAGACCAGAGGCGGAAGATCACTTTTAGGCCGGCTTGTACACCGGCCCGGCCCGCCATGTGCCTGTACCCGTCCGGCGCTGCGCCGCCACCCCGCGCCAGCTAAATCGGGCTGCCATGCCGGCTACCCGGCTAGGCTCTCCTCCTGGGTCTCTAGGGTCTGGCCCCTGGCCCCCTGGCCCAGCCCCTGGGCCACCCTGGGCTGCCGGCACGGGGCGGGGAAGTCCAGTCCGGCTTCACGACGACCATGTCGCGCGGGAACTTGAGGTTGGCGCCGTTGGCGGAACCAGACCAAGGACCAGGGGGAGGGGAGCAGAGGGTGGCACAGATGTGCAGCCATCTCATCGACTCGACACAGTGAATCAGCATGCTGATAACGCGAGGACTGGGTGGCAGTTGGGCGGGTCAGGGTGTGGCGCGGCGGCGTGGTGGCCATCCTGTCACAGCGTCATGTGCACGCCCTGCACGCCCCGCGCAGAGGCCTGGCCTGGCGGGCCCACGAGGCCATGAGGAGGTGCACTGCCCTCGTTCCCCCCGCCCCGCCCCGCCCCGCCGCGAAACGAAATGGGTTGGCAGTAAAGCGCTACACGTGTTTCTGTTCAGAGAGGCCGTCTGTCCGAGCCCAAGCGGCCCAAGGGCCGAACGGGGCGGGGTGGGGCATGGAGGGGAGGGGGGGGGGGAGGCCGTCAAAGAGATGAAAGGGTGTAAATAGGGTTAGACATGCGCCGGGAGCCCCCCTTCAACCCGAAGACCCCGCGAGGGGCGGACAGCGGAGGCGTGGAGAGGAGGGCGAGCCCGAGCGCGGCGCGCCCCTTTAGTGACGGACGCCCGGCCGACACCAATTGATAGCCGTATCGATGGCGTCCATCACGTCGCGAGGGCCCCCGGGACGATTCAATTCGATGCGAGCAGACAGGGCTCGGGACACACTCACGGCCCCCGGCTCGCCGCCGAGGCGAAGCGGGGCGAGACGAGGTCGACAACCGACACAAAAACACAGACGGCCAGACCCACCCCGACGAGACGGGCGCGCCAAGCGGCTGCCGACTTACTACCCCCCTCCCCCCCCCTTCCACCGACAGAATCAAAATTAGGTCCATATCACTGGCCACCCGTCGCGGCATAGCACTCGCCGGCCGGCTGCAGCCAGCTGACGGGCGGCAGCTGCAGGTGCTGCAGCGGCAGCTGTGCTCGGCCGCCGGGGGGCCCCCGCAGAGGGTGCCGCCGCCCGTGTCTGTGTGCTCGCGCGGCGGCCAGAAATACTCGCCCCCCCCCCCCCTGTACGTCACAGACCGCATCACGCACGTAGGCTATCACGGCAGAAAATGGAAGTGGCAGCAGAGTGGCGCCACCATGGCCAGGCAGGCAGGGCGAGCTGGCCAGCTGGTCCTTCCCCGTCCGAATCACCCCGCTGCCGCACTGGCCGGCCCGCGGGCGCGCGGGGCGCAGGCTCGACCCGACGGATATAGCCAACGGAAGGCGAGGCAGCACAGGCGCCCGCCGCCCGCGCAGGCGCCGCCGCCGTACAGCAAGAGTGCGCGGTCAAGTCCTTCGCAGCTCCAAAGGCATGAATCGCGCCCGCCGCTATTTACTACAACGGCATCCTGGCCTCCGCGCGCACGCTCACACCCATTACACCGCGCCGACGACGCGGCCCTCGGGGAGTCGTCGCGGGGGTGGAGGACGAGGGCGTCGCGTCGGCAGCGCGGCGGCCATAAATCGTGGCCGCGGCGGCGTCCCCGTCGAGGGCCCCCGGGGGGGCCGACGCCACTCCGGCCCTCAGGATGTGAGGCCGGCGCGGGCCGCGGGCCTGCCTACCGCCCCTGCCACGGCCGGCCAGCCGCCGCCGGGAACGTGTGAACCACGGCCGCCTCCATCACGACAGTCACGGCGCCGTCAAAACAGAAAACGGCCCCTCGTGCGTCTCCTCTGCCCCGCCGCGGGGCCGCGCCGCCGGTCACCTCGTCACCGCCCACGCGTGCTCGCGAGTCCTTGGCCGGCACGCCGCGGGGGAGGGGGGGGCGGGAGGGGACCACGACCACCGCGAGGAAGCAAAGGTGCGCAAACCACTCGGTGGGCGCGTGGGTGTCCGGGGGGGCTGGACAGTCGCGAGCAAAACTGTGAGCGACTGTCACTCTCTCCGCCGATAACAGCTGATAGGCGCGGTGCGAGCTTTGCCGCCTGCCGCCGCCACGCCTCGCCGGCAACACACTCACGGCAGACGACACGCGGGCGAGGCGGACTCGCTTCCTCCTCCTTTTCTCTCATTTGCCTTTTTCTTCTCCCCTCGGACGAATGCGGGAATTGGGCCGGGCGCGGGGGCCGAGCTTTGGGCGGCCGCGGGGGCAGCTCGCACCACACCCACCCCTCCTCCCTCCCCGTCATTGCAAAGTGCGGCACCATCACCAAGCATCGCCTATATTTAGCGCCCTCTCGCTCGCCCCCGCCCGCCCCGCCTCGCCTTCGCCGCGGCCCCCTTCCCCCAAAAGCCAGCAACAGCGGGCAGGGACTGGGCTACCCCGGGCCGAGTCCGGAAAAGTCGCCGGCGCGTTAGTTCCGTCTTCCTCGCACCCACGCGGGCCCCCGCGGGAGGGACGGTCAGGTGAGTGCGCCTCCCGGATGCAGCCGCCCCGCCGCCAGGTCGCCGTCGGCGTCGTCCGCGCCCGCGTGGCGTGACGGACGTCGGCGGGGACGAGGCCAACCGTAACTCTCGCGGGGGTCACAGGGAGCTGCCACCTGCCAGAGCCGAGTCGGCGACGACCCCCTCGGCGTGGCGTGGCGTGGCACTGCCGCCCGCGCGGACTTCCCCGCGGACGGCCGAGGGCCCCTCAGAGTGAACCGGCCGTCGGCCGCCCCTCCTAGACGGACAGGCGCATGGCGTACAGTGTCAGTCGCTAACGATGAATTGAGCAGATACCACTGGCGGTGGACGCACAGAACAGAGGGCTTTGGGGGGAACGCCCCCCACCCACCCGCCGGCGGACCGGAACTGCCGTGACTCAACCTCACATGCACCGGCATGTGATCACAGGCGCCAAACCCACTGACGCCCAATCGAGAGTGGCGTGCGACCCGTTGTCTCGCACTTCTGCGATTAGAGGGGCCGGCGAATCAGGACGCGATTTCAAGATTAGGGCATCCCCGCCCCGCCCCGCCCCGCCGGGACACGCCACGCCCCCTTCCCTCTGCCCCGCCAAGGGTGAGCCGCTAGTGCCGCTGCTCCTGGCAGTAAAAATAGACCGATGAAAGTGCCGCGAGCTGTCGGTCTTGAGCCGCGGCCACGCGACCCCAAAGCACCAAAGGCAAGGTGTTTTTCGTGGTTTTTGAAACTACAGTTTGAGTAATTGTTTATCATAATGACAAAATTTTACCACAAACAATTGCTCCCATTGAGACAATCACATTAACTTTGCCATTCAAATCGAAGGAAACAACATTTCCTATTCCATGCCATAGCATGTAGGAAAATAGCAAAGTAAATACTAGCTATCTGTAGGTCATACAATGTTTCCAGTACATGTATGATCATTCAAACAATTATTTCATTGTAATATTGTTCTGATTTTGATTTTAAGGGTTAATAAAAACAAAAATATAGGGAATTTATATTGACTGAATAAATGAACAGCCAGTGACAACTTCATTCATTTAGGAGGCAAATAGCTCAAATAAGCTAGTAAATAATACAAAAATAGGACCGAGCCTGGGACAAGTAATATTTAACGTATACTTGGTGGTGTAATCAATGGTAGTTAATACGCTCAACAGGTTGACATTATTAGACTCTAAATAAAAGGCAAATTCATGTACTAGAGTTTCATGATAATGAACTATAAAGATGCTAACACAGCGTAACCTACTTAGGTGACACTACGCAGCAACATAACCTATACCATTCATTCAATAAATAACTCATTGAGACCCATTACAGGTATTATACTCAAAACACAGCAACACACAGGAGAAAATGACTTTCTTCCTGGTTAACACACAAAATAGAACCGGGATAATAACAATTTGATATGAAATTCTAACTGGAAAAATGCAACAGGCTACTGGAGTACATTTGTATTATAACTTTCTCAACAAGAGAGAAATCAGAAGAGGAATGAAACAGAAAAATAGACAATAAACTTAACTAAATTTTACAGTGTTAATGGGTCTAAAAGGGAAAGCAGATGGAAAAAAAACAAGGATAATGAGTTTGGGTACATCCTATGATCAGCTGGCCATATAAACACTTGTTATTTGACAAGTTTAGTTACAGCAAAGGGGAAAATGGCATATTCCAAGAGCTCAAAATATGTGTTTCTCTACAAATAAGAAATTGTCAAAAACTCAATCGTAGGCTAAGGCTACGAGTCAAATTTGGCAGCAGTGTCTGGCAGTTGGTCTCAGCCACGGCCATTTTGTGGGACTGTGAAGTTCCAATTTTGGGAGACAGTTTCCTTGTATGAAATTAACGCAGGTACGCGAAATAGTGTAAAGCTGATGAACTATGGGACTTGGCGAATCATTGGGGAACTTTAATTACCTGATGTAAAGCTGTCAAGCCGTCAACATTAGCGGTGTCAATGTCAGCTCCCTTCTCGAGCAAACGAACCACCTCCTCCTTGTCTCCTGATGCACATGCTGCTAAAAACACGCAACCAGCGGAAAACTTGATTTTTCTCGTCTTAGTCTTGAGCACTGTGTCTTCTCGGTTTGTTTCCGATTCTTCCCAACGCTTCAATTGTTCGGCCCTTTTAAAAAGAGCCGAACTTGATCGGGTTTCTATCGACATAATTACGACTACTCCATAAGCTACGTTTCTGTACCATCAACATGGAGGGAGCGGCCTCAACTCCGACCCGATGCCTCGCCTCGACCACGGCAGGCTGGATCCCGTCGAGGGAATGGTGGTAGGGTGGTAGTGGTAGTTGTGGTAGAGGGGAAGGACTGAAAATAGAGAGCGAACGTTGATTACTATACTTTTCAAATGGTAATGGTGAAAGGGGGGCTATTGTTTCAGTTTTACAAGTCCTTTGCTTCATGTTCTTTTCTCTGTCTCATTCTTTTGCTTTTTTCGAAGTAGGGATTTTCTGTGTGGCACAGCAATTTCTCACCTTAACTACTACCCTTGCAAAAGTCTCTCGCTCTCATCAATCTCAATCTCAATGTTAATGTGTATTCTCAGGAAAGTTGACAAGTAGAAGTAGAGTGTCGACTGTCAAACAATACTATAGTTATTTTATTTTATTTCATATCAACCCGTGTCGACGGGATAGACTGGATCCGGTCTCTTGCGGGGAGCGCCTGACTCAAATCCTCGGTCTATTCTCCACTCTGGCACTACAACGAAATGAAAAATAAAGAACCCTCAAAACTAAATTTTCAGTCTATTATT